GGGGGGTGGTAAAAAATGGTAACATTGCGCGTAAACAACGCGACGTCTGGCGAGGAGGTGGTCCACGTGAACACGACATCGTGGGACTCCTCGTTATTTGTACTCGAGAATTACTCCGACCGTGAGATCTCTAAGCAAACGATTCTTATTTAAGTAAAACCCTTAGAAACTAGACGACAATAAATAAGTATAGATTTTCGTATGGGAATAATCTTTAAACGGGGGAAAAAACACGATTAAAAGTAGTCGAGCGCGCGTATGCGTATCCGCGCTCGGTTAAAAAGTAATGAAATGCCGAGTTACAAACAGCCTCGACGAAGAGTCGATTAACACTAATCGCACGCCCCGGCGTTAACGGAATGTAAAATCAACGAATCCTGGGCCGATAATCACGGCTCAGCTTCCTCGTTTCCGACGTCCATTTATGCGTTCGTTTCCCTCTCCATATTCTACGTACGAATGGACGAACGATTTGCGCGCGTACCGCTCGCTGGCGTTCGCGTGCGTACGGAAAATTCTAGGTGAGGTAAGTTGGTTCCGATTTTGCTAAAAAATGCTTGTGCTCTAGGCGCATGAACGGCGATATCAATGATCCCTCTCGTATTCCGTGCTTCAATTTAATATGCCTTTTCAGATTGTCGGACCTCGTTAACGATATCATGCAGATTTGGCACTGATACTTATCGGGGCAATGCGATTTCATGTGCTTTTTAATGTTGGCTACGCTCTTCCCGCAGAGCTTACAACACTTTGCACCGACAGGGTTCGACTGTTCTAACTTATTTTGACCGTCTTTACTTAAATCCTTCTCTTTTTTGCAAGTTCCTGCTGTTCCTGGAATACAAGATCCCGTTTCAATAAGTTGGTTAGGTCACTGCGATATACCGACAATCTCTACTAGATTCACGATAAGATATAATAAGAAACGTGTATAGAACACCTCTCATAAAGTCACACTCTACGTCAAGTCAAAGAGTTGCAGAAAAGAGGGTATCCTCTCGCAAGAGGAACTTCCTAAGCGTACCCTTAGTTTTCCAATCAAATTCTTTCAGTTGTTTGGAAGGCGATCCTCGATCTAGTTACAAAGTAGCTCGTCACCACTCATCCCCATTATTTCTATCTAAAAAATCCTAAACTTCTCGGCTTCGCCAACAAACTATCTACCATAAACATTGACTCGTTAGCAGATTATAGACTCGATGCGCTAACCACGTTTACAGAAGATATATTTAACATATTCCTTGATTTTCGTCTTATTTTGACCTCTAAAATCTCCCATTAAAATTTTTCCCTGTATCCCTTTTACAACTCAAATCTATCTTTTAATACTACCGTTGAAATATGATATTTACTACGACAGGAATGTTTTCAAATATTTACATATGTCTCGTCTCTAGTTATAGCCAAGTTCCTTTCATACCGCACTTATCTTTCTTGGGTTATTGACACGCCTGGAATTTCCCGTCATTTTATTACTGCAGTATACCTCGAGCATGGTATTTTTGCAATGATCAGTTTGTTCTTGCGACTCGAAGGAAAAAGTAGTAGCGAGTTTTAAACAAGACGTAACAAGTATCGTAACGCGCGAGAATTAACTTTATTATCAAACTGTAACCGTTTTTGTGCTACGAAGTATTCGAGGTGGCTGCCTTTGGATCGAACGAATTTTCAAAATACGCGAGATTCTTCGATCAAAGTGCGAACAACAATGCAATCTAATCGAACTTATTGTTCCTGGCGGGAGATTAACTGCATCGATTGTACGTAAATTTCTTGAGTAATCGCTTGGATAACCTTATTGAAAAAACCCTACTTGACGTTGCGTAGCTCGACAAATTAAAAATTCCCTGGACTTCAGCTTTGATCATAATCCTATTTCTTGTAAACAATATCGGATGACATCTGCTAGCTAGGACTTTGATCCGCATCATCTGATCCCATCTCTATCACTCGGTTCGTCACGCTCGCGCTACTACATCGCGAATCTTATTAAACTTGCTCAGCTATTCGTCGCATATGGTTTATACATGACGTTGCATTTTCACATTTTAGCAGAGTAGTCAAACAGTTCACGAACAAATGGATAGATCGCGCAAAACCTGATTTCTAGCCTGCTCGTTCCCCAGATCTAATTACGCTGGATTTTTCCTTATAGGATCGTCCAAAAAAGAATTATTTATTAAACGTTCCTTTTATCCCCGATCGGAGATACACCTCTGTGGATTGTGAATTACTTAAAAATTGTTAAACCCGTTTCTACAACCTAATCCATTCCATCTAAACGCTCCTAAATTAAGAGCCACCGTTCGCGATAGATGCTTTTTATTCGACAATAGGGAGGAATCGTACGGGGCTACTTTGTGACTCTACCGTGGATCGTTTCCCAAACATCTAAAAACAATTTGATCGTAAAACTAAGGGTACACCTGCGACGTTCCCCTCGTCGATTAAATTACGTCGACCAATCAAAAGTTACGAAGGCATAGATTGAGAAACACCACACTCGTAATATATGTATCTATGTATGTATACAGTATATGTCTATAGATGCCTACTCGTAGCAAAGATAATCATATCATATCACGTAAAGGAAAAAAAATAAAAGCGCACACCTACTGATCTTTATCATTGTCAAGAGTTACAATAAACGCAAAGCTAGCACAACACGTTGTCACACAACTGAAATAGAACAAATGAAAAAAATAAATAAATAAAATAAGAGAAAAAGGTGGGAGGGGTGGGGTGGTGGGGGTGGGTGGAAGAAATAAAAACACGACAAAAAAAAGTTTTATAGAGTTCGTTAAAAGATCAACGGAAACGGAAGAGAAACCCTGACGAAGAGAACGTCTGCTGACGGTGTAATAAAATTTCTCTCGACGGAAAACGCTCGTGTTCGGGGAGAACAAGCGATATGTTCGGAGTTACCAAAAAATTCTGCCACTGTAGAGCTTCGTTTCGACTCGCTTCGCGAATTACTCGCGAAGAAACGTCGAAGTCTGCAACAGTGTTTCTGGGGTCAGACTCTGGGGGGTCATTCGTCGCTGACGAGCGACTGTATAACAGATCGTAAACGATGACGATGACGATTTTTCTGCGAGATCAAGCGCCAAACAGATTCGAGAAGGTAAACGGACCCGTCGCACGCGTTAGCAACAAAATCCTTGTTCCTCCGGCACCGCGACGTCCGCTCGTGACGCTCTCGACCAAAGTCAGAAACGATCTCGTTACGCAACGACTGTTTTTTCCTACCGAATTGGCGACGTTCTAGCAGGTTCCGTCGATCGTATTACGTAACGACACGCGGGTACGTTGCATTTCGTTGCTAATATCCCCGTTTACTCGTACGATTGCGGGTTAAAATAAACAACGCATGAGAGACACGTGAGAATGTAAGATTAAGATCGCTAGGTACGGTGATGTGAAACGTGGCAATAGGTATTTGTAAGAGGACAGAGAAAACAGTGTTTAAAGGCATGCATAGAGAATCACGCCGTAGTGATGTGTATATATATCTATATATATACATACATACATGTACGTACGATGGCGGTCAGCTGCTCAAGACCGATTCATGCTTTATGGAACAAACGTGATTGACATTTCATAAAGGGTATAGTCGAATAAGGGGGTCAACTGTGCCCTTGAACCAAATTTGACACACGATGGATCCATCGATAGATAGAGCATCAGAAAAAAACATTCTGCGCCAAATTTCAACCCTCTATCTTGAAATCCGGATTAGCGAATTTGTGCCTATTTCTCCTATTTAATCGAGTACGAAAACTTTCGAATCGAACTGCAATATTAATTTAATTCTTATGTAATTGTCAGACGTTACGATGGCGAGATACGTGCGTTGAATATATTTAAAACTTATAAACTGAAAATAAAGTTACGTTACTATTGTATTACACGATATTCAGCGTGTGTAACTTATGAGCGTAAAATGCGAAAAATCAAAGTTACGAAACGCAACTCGCGTTCGTTCCTCGAACTGTGCAACGACCATAAGTAGCTGACTGCCACTGTATATACACACGTATATACGTTCGTTTACAAATTATATTTATAGTTATATGCCGGCACACGTATGTACACATGTTCGCACGCAGACAACGGCATTCACCCGCGCACCCACACACCGACACGTCGTACTGTGAATTTATTCCGTTAATCCTGCCACGCATACGACCGGAACCACCGATATGTATGTATATGTATATAAGGTAGCAAAACAAAATTAAAAACGCAACACACACGGGACCACGTACGCAATCAACGACCACACACCATCTCAAAAATTCACAGACAAACAGAAGAGTACTGTCCATTTGCTGGTACCAAACGAAAAGTACTGTGAATTTTTCCGATACCACTTGGCCCAAAACCAACGTTCTTCTATTCTTTTTTTTTTTCTTTCAAAATGTTAGATACTCCTATTAACACACTTACGGATTCGTAACTACCACAGTGACATAGCAAATGCACGATACCATCACCACAACACCAAGAATATATATATAATATATGCCATATAATATATATATATGATCACGTTATATACACGTATATATATACGTGCACACACTGCCCGTGTATGCACATATATACGTACACGTATACAGGATGCATCCATCAACAAGAAAGTTGTTCGTGTTCTAAAGAGTTACCACTCACTACGCTTGCCAGACTCGGAAATAGAGGGATGCTCGCTTCGTACGCCTATGTACGACTCGACGCGCAAAAATTCTTGCAAACGTGCATGCACATCTCCCTCGATTTCTTAGACGTCACGTAGTTCCCACGCTCCGCGAATTTTTTTCCTAAACGAATGCAACGTGGCAACGGACACGGTCGCGAAACAGATGGCGAACGAAAGCGTGGGTTACTTGTTGCGCCAACGTGCGTGGAAACTCTGGCCGAGTTTCGACGGGCAAACGGGAATTACGTGAAATCTAAATGGAATTTTGATTGTAATGATAGATGTTTGTAGGTCTTACCATCGAGTCCGTCGAGCATTTCTGGGGGATTATGGTGTTCGGACGATTCAATCCCTGACACGCCATCGCTAAGCGCACCCGCCGTGGCACCCCCTTCATCTCCTAGCAGTCCAATTGGATGTCCCTGCACACGACACGAAAAACCACTATAAATACCACTGTGAAAAGAATTACTGCCTCCTAATAATTTCTGTCAGACACGGGAGAAATTCTTATCCGGACAACAATTACGAATAACGACAAAAAAGATAAAAGAACTTTCAATTCCTTTGCTCGTCGAATGAAAATTGAAGATCGAATTGCAGAATCAAGTATTGCACAACGAACAAATAAAAATTTAACTGTTCGATGGAATGAACATTCGTCTACTATTCGAATAAAATTACTTATGAATTATTAACGAAATAATGATGCTGAGGATCCTGAACAAAACGCGTTCGTCTAAGGATTAAATAACGTAATGTACTGAAAAGGACGATGACGGAGAAATTAATCGGACTGTATTGGAACATGATTCGCGAAATTCTAGATAAAAATTACTTTCTTGATCCCGAACGTTATTGCATTTTGTTTTATTATTTTTCAAAGTTTAAAATATTGAACAAACTATAACAAAACCAAATTTAAAACACGTATTTGAAATAATTCATTGAATTTTCAGGTAGGTATATTATACATAAGGCAGAATACTTCATAATAAAAATATTCAACATTTTATTTAAATTCAACGCGATAATATCCATCAAAGAAGCACATCACCTCAAAAATGCACATGCTTTGACATTCCTTGTCTTTCGAACAATACTTCGAAATTAATAATATACACTGCCAATTTACAGTACTTGTATAATTATTATTACATAAAAATGTGTTGTTTAAGGAGATATAGATATAAATTTGAAGGTGTTCAATTGCCGCCAGAAGGCACAACTATTCTTTTATATTAAAACCTATTGACTGTATGAATTTAGTCTTTCTTAATAAAATGTGTGTTTTTGTGTGTCCACGCACATTAATTTTATAAATAGTCCTTGCATTTTGATGCAACACTGAAAATAAACATCTTTAAATATCTTTGTTGACGTATTATAATATTGCGTCGTAACTTTCTCCAAAATATCTAATATTTAAGAAAAAATATTAATTTCGACATATTTTTATACGTCGTAATTCGCATAAAGAAACATATGATAGTCGACCGCTTGAAATAACATATTTATTGCCAATGAAATATTGCAAAATATTGTAGGAAAATTAAGCCAAAAATTTGTAAATACTATATAACAAAAATACAATTAATACGCGTGTTATTATATTTGTAATTTCTGCTTACGTGGCATACGTATGAAAGAATGTGATAAGTAAAGTACAAACACTCTAAAAAAAAAAATACTGATTCAACAAACTTTTCAAATTCGATTGATAGAATGCATATGTTCTTTATGCTCCTTTAAACTCCATATTTATGTATTCTTTCGACATAAAAATAAAATCGAGTATGATATAGGAAGGAAGACAACACCAAACAGAGATGCCAATCTATCGCGGCACAAACATACTCTTATCGAGATACAACAATAAACATTCATACTTCACAAAAATGTGAATGACTGGCAAATTACTTACACAGTCTTTTATAATTACAAACATGTACATGCAGATATGATCTTACAATAACCGGGTGTAAAAAATGTTTACGTATTTTCATGTAGCAAATACGACTTATTCTCCGAGATTTTTGATTTTATAAAATTTTCAGAAAAAGAATATCGAAGCTGCAATTATAATACAAAATTAGCAAGTTTCCATGATGTAAGTATAAGCATCTTTTGCTTCCCTTTCTTTAGCAGCACACAAATTGTGTGCCTTACATTTATTATGATGATTCACAATTTCAAGTCTAAAATTACCATTCCCTGCAGCAAACGAAGTACGTATTTCAGGAATCGAATCGCTCCACTTCCGACAATATTTACAAAACATAAGATTCGAACTTTCGTCGTACTGAAGCCAAGAATACATGTCTAACCAACTGACTTTGAATCTACCAGCCTTTCTAACTTGAGGATTAGAACGCGACGAAATATTGCATAAATTTGATTGTATTTGATTATCCGGCGCTAATTTGAGTTGTGGTTTCGATATTGTGTTATTGTTATTGCACGAATATGAATTAAAAGGCGTGGGTCGATTTAGCAAACATTTGTAAGAATTCTCGTAATAATCAGACGTAGTCTCCGATATATTGATAGACACAGAACCTCCAGACAAAATAGCGCTTTCACGAGAAGCTTGTATCACAGCGGAATCTGGTTGACTTTGGGTCATACACTGTATATCCATATTTTCGTCACTCTTCCCATCTCTCTGAACCTCCCACTCCACACTAGTCTGTCAACAGAGAAGGAAAGGATATGTGTTTAATCAACACATCTTTGATTTTGCCTTTTCGCATATAAGAAGACAATTTTATTTCTCTATTTAATCATCCCTTCCTTCCCATGTTTGTTTGGACCGAGTAGTTGTAGGAAAGTAGTTAAGAAAGAACATTAATTGTGGGAGCAGTAACGAAACTATATTTTTGGTATGTTATGCTTAATACGTAACATGATTTGATGAATAGCGTAGAAGCTATACACGAAGAAAGTTTTCTTCGCCAAGATACAGAGAGGTAATAAAAAATTACAGCAAAAAAAAAAAAGCAAAATAACATGCTGAAATAAAAATAGTATATAATATAAAAAATAGATATATACCAGGTTGGAACTAAAAATAACTGTACAGTAAGATCTATAAAAATTGTACTAAAAGTTTTAGAATGCTAAATTATATAAATATTTAAAAATATAGAAAATGATTAAATTCTAAATAAATCAAAAAGTAAGTTAATATTGTGAATTGTTCATCATAAAAAAAATAATGTCAACAGGTTCAAAATTTAAAGTAAAACATGAAGGTTTTAATAACGAACAAGCATATTCGTGAGACAAACGCACAACTATATACTACTTAGAGTGAACTATTTACATGCTCTAAATTATATTATCAACATGCACAATGTAACTATAGCTTTGCTACAATAAGGAATATCCTTTGGAAAAATCACTTACTGGGAGGGAGATGTTGTCATGGAAGTCTGGTAAATGATGATCTAACTCTTGCTTGATAGAAGGTTGCGGCTGTGATGCAGGGGACATAGGTCGACCACCATCTTCCATTTCACCTCCCAAGGCATTATTTAACTTTGGAATCACAGGAGGGCTTGATTTGTAACTACATTGCGAAGATGCCTGTAACCAATAAATCACAAGGACATGCATTTAAAAAATATTAAAACAATTTTATGTTTATAGCCTGAACAAATATTTCAAATAAAATGTATAATACCAGATTCGAATTTTGTTTATGTAAATTTGTTTTCAAAGTGTACGATCGCAAATGTGATCTTAAAAAAACGAAATCGTAAGTCATTTATCATTCTATACGGTATTAATGAAATGTTTATTAACGTTCGACTGTATTCGATTAGCAAGAATTCTCACCAGCAATAATTGTGTAAAGTATCGCAATTTTTACTTAAAAAAATGCGATAAAAGCTCCGATATTGCCATACTTGATTCGCGTATTATAATACGCAGATTAACTTTTGCTTTGTACTTCAAGGTTACACGTACAGCTCTTTGAAAAGCTGTGCAATCATATACATATGTAGCTTATTGATAACAAAATGCGATCATTATCTCCGAATTTTAAGCGTTACGAGTAAATAACAAAAGTTCACAAGTATACATGTGACGTGTTCGCACGCACGCATGCACGAATGCGCGCGCGCGCAAGCACGCGGGAGCATATGCTTTGAAAATATTTGTTAGAAAAGAATAAAATTGTTTCAATTTAATATTGTAGTCTCTACATTTGCACGCAATACAAAATGTACATCATTTACAACATGTTCTACGCGAATTATTTCCAATAAAAAGCTCCATAAATAAAAATAAAACCATGTTTCATAAATTCGTTACAAAGTTTATAAAAAATTGCAAACCACCACCAGCAATTAGAATAAAGTTTACTGTATTATTTCATAAATATATTTATAAATTTGCTATAAGGCTTACGAACAAAATGTATTTGGAGATACAGAAAATTATAAGACTGCTCATCGACAGAAAATATTTACAAACATTTATAAATTAATTGGTATTGTGAGTGTTAGAAAGCAGCAAAAAAAGTTATAATAATGCAACAATATGTAACATGCAACTTACTTAGAAGATAAGTATGGATTTATACATATTTATGAGTAGGATGTTGGAATACCAATATATAATATTTAATGTAACGTACCTGAGAATCGGACATGAACCGTTCACTGGGTGGACCACTAAGGGAAACATCGTAGCTGCCCGAAGCCTTTCTTTTCCTCTTTTCAGGAAGAGGCTGAAGGTTAGGCGAGTCGGTATGCCTAACACCAGTTTGCGTTTCTGGTTCCGGCGATGGACTTTTCTCTTCTGTCTTGTTATTTACACTATTATCTGTGAGGCCTCTAATCTGTAATGCCTCGGCTGTTTTAAGGAACATCGGTAGTAGATGCTGACTAACGTTAACTTCTCCTTTATACATAAAGTGCAGCAATGCCTTCATTTCCGTGTCATTGACATCCTTCAGGAATATAATTGGATGGGGATGGGTATTCTGGAGGAAAATGCTCTCAAAATACGGACTGCATGCAGAGAGTATCGTCTGGTGTGCCTTGAATGTCTCTCCAACACACGCCAGGGTAACGTCGCAGAGTGCCTCTCTGGCAAGTAAGGAGCTGAGAACGTCTGTGAGGTTGGCTGGATGATTGTTCCACCGTAGACAATACTGTTGGTCCATCTTGTCTATCTCCAATCCCGACCCTACAACCAAACTAGCTGCCCTGAACTGTCCACACTAGAGGCTTTGATCACCCTGACTACAGAATGACTCCCTAACCCTTAAAACGTTAACTCACACGCCTTCTCCACGCACACTCTCCTATATCGACTTGACGATATCTCCTCGGAGATTATATCGCAACTCTAGACCCACACAACTTCCTCCGTGCTTCTGCAAATGTGCCACATTGCAGTATAACTGTAAAACCCTTCAGGGTTCACGCGTCGCTACTATGCGTACCGAAAACATTTTTTTCGCATAACCTCGGCAACCAACAAATTACTCCGTTTGCAATTTAACGTCGATAAGTGTCGCGAAAATTAAAAGAAGGTTAGAATATTAATTGCGACGCAGTATGTGCCACCCACAGATATGATAATACCCAATATTCGAAGATAATGTTTTCAGCAATGTCAATATTCGCGAGGCTTGGGCGCCATTGTCGGTCGTGCTCGTCTAGCCACGAGCCTTCTCGCGAAAACTCGATTTGTTGATGCTCGATTTCTAACCATTCAAACACGCTCCACACGCGGCTTTATTTACCTAAACCCAGCGCCAGCTAACTAACGCACCGTATACACTAACGACCGGGCTTTGTTTATCGTTTCGACGATTACTCACCTTTCGCAAACTTTTTGCCATTACAACGCCACCCGACCCTTAACGTCCACTGCCATACCAATCTGCCAATGCCTACGGCCTTATTTTTAAAATACTTTTGACCTTCGTGCATCTGCCGTGGGGAATGGCGCGAAGGGCGCTCAAATTCAAACGTGACTAGCCACGCGGTAGAGTTTCTCTCGACAATTACAACATAACTAAGCAATTTCTTCTTTGTAAATTTATGTAATTCGGTATCAATGATATCATAGATATACTTGTAATAATGAATTCAAAGAAACTGTCGTTTTCGACGTTTATTTGTCTCTCAAAAGAGAGAAAACATAATCTGTTTCATGTAAAATTTTTTAATAGAAAGCACAACGTATCGTATATAAAAATACGATTAATTATTAAAATATTATAAAGCAATTTCGACTGTAAAATGTGATAAATCGTTTCAAATTACATTACTTGTTAGGATTACGATTAAAATATCTATTACTACGTAAAAGCTATATAGATTATGCATCGAATATTGAAATAGATAAATAGACATTAAATTTAATTACCGTCTACACATACGTCAAGATAAATTGTGCCTATCTTATTAACTGTCCGAACTGTGATAATTTTATACAAATTATGCTTTGTTCGGTGAATGTAAATACTTCTGATAGAATCTCTATGGCATGCTGCCGGAAGTGTAAATAAATACAGCCTTTGTGTCCGATGCTAAAGTTCAACTTGGAACTTGGAACGTATTCGAAGGAATATCATACTTCTTGGAATTGCCAAACAAAGGGAAACCTAATTCTTATCTAGAAAATATTTTATAAACGAGTCACGAGGCGGTGCGTAATGCTCTGAAAATATCTTACGCGAATTTCTTAACCATATGTAAATTGCAGTTTATTACACGTAACCGTGGAGAATTCAAAATTTATTCACCGTCTGTTTCATTATCGTAACGTACGGTAACGCGCGTAAAATTCATGGATACTTTAACAAACTGTCCGTAACTTTGAAATCCGTTGCACTTAATACTTTGCAAAACCGAAAGATCGCTCGTACGCTTTTATCGCGTTGGCTTTAATGATTCGCGAATACTCTCGTTTCAATTTCTTTCGGTGAAACGTACATACACGTGCGCGCTACGTTATACGAGAGGGGGATTACATTTTGCTGAAAATCATCGAGTGCAAAGGGGTCGTTCGGCTTCATTTGACTGCAATAAACGGTAATTCACGCAAATCGCGAGCCTTCTGATATTAATTTCGACCGTCCGCGAGCCGGACGATAATCGTGTTAACCATACGAAATCAATAGGTAGCGGGAAAATTGGAAAATCTCCTTAATCGGTTTTCGAATATGGATTTACAAGCTTTGCCCGACCATTAACAGATTTAATCCGCGCTTTGATTGGCACTGTGCAAAATTACAATTCGCGTGCTTGTCCACAACGAAGACGCCGTGAAATAGAAGGGACGATTGTTTGTAAATAGAAATTCGGTATATTAAGCGGATCACGCAAAGAGCATAATTGAATTTATCTCGGGCGCGTTTCTGAGGATTTAAAATGCAAGCACGAGACGCGATGACGACGGGACAGTTTTAATGCCAAAGTAAGTGGAAACGTTCGAAACGATACTTTCGTTTAAAAAATTCTTTTCCTCGCATTTAGCGTCTGGCGGAGTCATGAGTTATGACGGACGCTATTACCAAACGATGTCACCATTTGCCCAAAAAGGAGAATACGTTACTGCGACTTGTATTAATACCCAACAGAATCGAGTAAATTTCATTTGCAAACAACGGACAGAAATTTTAGACCGCGCTAAAATTGTAATAAAACTATATTTTAAATATTTTAAAACAAAAATAATTAATCCCACATTATGTTTACACGCATATGAAGCAATAACATACGAAATAGCATGGTGTTCGCGTATTGATACGAGTCGCCGTACATCAGGAGTTACAATGAACTCGAAATACTCTCCATGAGAAATTTAGATCCTCAGGTCAAATCTGCCCGCGTTCCGACGCGCGTACTCTATTCTCGGAAAATATGTCGCTACGTTTTCTTTTTCCTATCCACGCGTTCGCGGCGGAATTAGCGGAGAGCATCACGCGGGAAAAGAATAATCGTATACGTGATATAAGATCGGATTTGCTCGTTCCAAAGACGAGTAATTATCGAAATAATGCACGTGATAGCTACGAGTACGTTTGTACGAGGTGTTGTAATCTTGTACCTCGTTTTTTCGTGTATCTCGATTTGATATTAGGCTACGAATACGGTCTCCTAATCCTGTACCTCAATTTATTGTGTATCTCGATTTGGTCGCATCGAAGATAGACTTGTCGTTCATAAAAAGACAAAAAAAAAAAAGGCTCGTCGTCCGGCTGACATTAGCAACACCATTTTACGATAAAATAAATGGTTGCGCAATCAATTATCCGAACCGGTTCTTTGAACAAGTTCTCTCCGCTGACCGAGAAGATTGCGCTAGGGCCGGGACTATTCGAATATTTTATAGGTATTCGAATACTACGAATGAACTTCGGACAGCATTATTCAAATATTAATAAGCGAATACTTATATAATTGCACTCTTTATGTAACAGAGATACCGATGATGTACTTAAGCATTACATCTTGTTATTAGCTGATTCGGGTCAAGCATACGGATGAACTATTGCTGTGAGCGAAATCAATGATTCTTAGAAGATGAACGATAATCTGCATCCATGTAACCGTACGTAAATACAGTTGCACAGTAGCTCCTTTGTGTTTTACATTAGTTGTACGATATTATTTAGGATCGTTTGGGACTGTTTGCAGCCGAATTAATATAAACGAATGAATATTCGAATACAAGAAAAATTCTTCAAAAAGTTCCAGTCCTAGCGTTACCTGATCTCACGATCAGCGGTGTCTCACGTGAGACCGCGCACACGTTCGACGATTTCGTCGAATGTGCGACTATTCAAGTACGATAGATCAAAGATCAACGCTAAGGACAACACACAGAGGAAAGAACAAGCTTATCTTTGACAAGGAACGGACCTGTAGATCCTCCACGCAGCTGGGTTACCGGCGAGCATCACCGTTATCTGCATAATTATCTCGCGGTGGCCTTGACTGTTCCACGAGGAAAACACGTCGTTGCTGGCATCGCGACGTACCGTGGCCCGATACGTTCGCTAGCGCTAGCGTGGTGATAGAAGTCGCGCTACGAGGCGACGTAGCGCGACGAAAAATCGTTTTTCTCCGTCTTCCGTGCGGCTGGGAGATCTTCAGGGACGATCTTCGCGCGATGCACGTCGGAAGTGCAGCGATGCCGCCGCGCTAATCGTCACGCGCATGCCCGCGTGCCGGTGCGCGCGCACCGACACGGTTTCGCGAGCGACGCGCGGAATCCGTTTCGTAAAAACGACGCGTCTCGACGTATCGGAATATATGCATGCCCGATGTATCCTCGATTTCACCACACCGCCCGGCCTCACGGGCTGAAATTCTCGCGAAAATGTATGCGTACGGTCGAACCGGGAAGTAGCAGGTTCGTTTGGTCGCGGAGAAATTTAATGCAGAGGTAAGAAAGTCCGCATGAAATACTGTCTCGATAAGAGACGCGCGCCTGTGCGCTCGAACGTGCATTTTTCCAGCGACAATGCAGCCCCGCTCAGTTTACGGGGTAGAAAGGGCGCGCTTTCAGCGTTTGATCTTCAAACGCACCGGGAAGTTTCTCGCTGGAGAACGGGGCTCTCTTATTGACGTACTTACAGCCGTTTCACAGGCACGAGTTACGCTACGGATGAAAATCGCGAACGGATGCTTACGCCGCAACGAATTTTCCTCCCTCCCGTTGAAACCCGTCACGCGGCTGATTCTGCGATCGAAGGATTCGATCGATACGCACGTAAGGGGGCGACACGCTCGAGACGCAAAGACCAAGACAGAGACGACGTGATTTCGATTTTCTTTTTGTCGTATCCATTTAATATAACCGGCGCCCGATCGGTCAAAGCAACGATGAACGAACGTTAATGGTTCCTGGTTCCGGAGGCAAAGTATTTTCGAGCCTGTGATCATTTTTTACTTTAATGTATGCGCGACTCAAAATACGGGACCGGCTATGTGCTCGCGATAAATTATAAATCGCTCGAACCCCCTATTCCCTGCAACGCGGTAGATTAAAAATTAATCTTGATATAAGGTTATTGCAATATTTGTCCACCGTTGCGGCGGCATGTAAGAAGTTACGATGGTTTTGTTTTTGCATACGAAGTTACCCTGCGAAATATCGAGCAAATAATCCAACGGATATTCTAATAAAAAATGCTCCGCTTAGTTTGAATTTTTATCTCCGGACATACGATACACGATGACACCAGAAAATAGCATAATTTAGTTCGTTAAACGTGAACGTTTCGAGTCCTCTTTTTTATAATTTTATGTTCGACATAAAAATGAATTATTTTTAACTTGGACGTATCGTGCGCGTTGAATTTTATCAATTTTTATCCATAATATATCCTTTTTTTCTCAACTCTTGGACTAACTGAAAAATGTTTCACGTATAAATCATACTGAAGAGGACTTAAGCGCAAGGAAGACGTTTATGTTCAATAAATGGAACTATGCGGGCGACTGGTATTTTTTTTTTTGCTTATTTTTCATCTCAAGAATTCTCGTCTCGCGTAACTGGTTTTTATTTACAACGTGAAAGTTACATATTGAAGTTTGCAAAAGTTTCTTCGCCGACTGGTGTTTCATACTACATTTGAATCTGGGCAAACAAGTTCTGATTGAAAAATAGTATTTTGCGCGTTTCAAATTCTCATTCGGGGAAAACAAGTTTTCGCCTCGTTCTCTGTGAAAAATACAAATTAGTGTGAAAATTAAATAATGAATCGTGCTCCACCGCGTACTTGTTAATGATGCAATCTTGCTAATAACAAGACTGAAATTGGAGTACGTAACGAAATATGGCGTCTATTCGTTGCATATACGAATAGCAATCGCGATATAAAATAGAACTTTAAAATATGTATTTTCTGGCCGAACACCCTGTATACTGCCCAAAATAATTAGTCTTGCTCAATTTATTAGCTTACGAATAAAAGTATATTCATTGTACTACAAATCTTACAAGTTTTATTAACAAATTTTGAATCGTGTAAAAGTTATGGCCAATCGAGTGGAGCCACTTTGTCGAGACTAGCAAGAAAGATATTTAACGATCAAATTATCTGAAATAAAAAACCAAGAAACTTTTTAATCTCCATTAGCGTCTCTATCGTTGAGCGTACGTGTTCTCTTTTTTGAAAATATTTTCGCGTTATGGTCGAAAAAATGTAGAGAAATATGCATACTCTCGTTGCAGATCAGTCTTACTTGATGAGCACTTTCAATCGATAATAACGATGGGGAACGATAACTTTGAACTCTATCGTAGAGTAATTATGTATCCAGGAAAGTACTTTACACTCTAGAGGTTCTCAATCTCTCTAAAAACACGTATTACAAAAACTATAAAATATTTGGTTGGTATTTTAATACGAAGTTTGAGCTTATTTGATAGAAGATAGTTTCTAAATATCGAACCCTATGTACATACTTTCAAACACAAATTAGGCTTTGTACTTGTTTTTTAAATAGAATTTACTTCCTAATTTCACATATTCTTTGGTTGAGCGATCGATATACTAGACATGCAATACTTCAATGTTGGATATGGTCATTTTTATTTTGCGTATTTTCACTATTCTAAAAAACCAGTCACGTTCAAGCATCTACCATCAATTAAGTATTACCAGATGAGAAACTACTGCTACACATCTCGTTGGTGTTCTAAAAAATCTATTTATATGCAATTTTTTAGATCTATAGAAAAACATGTATATCTATGCATGTAATCTACGTTGTAGTTTTATAGTTAATCCACTATTATTGCAAGGAATACATCTATTTTTTTATATAACTTGTTCAGTCGTTTTAGAATTATACTGAATTTAATATACAAATTTATTTTCCGCTACTGATCTTTCACGAGAAATTATACGATCTTTTTACTCCTCATATATTATTTTAGTGTACCTTCTATAATTTGGTCAGCGTTTCGACTGATATGACGCAATAAGAAGAACAAATACAGACTTGGTTTGCATTTTCGTTTACTACTTCGGCCCTGGTTATGGCACAGTAATGCTACGAACGTTCAAACTGGAAGAATAAGCTATCTAGCAGTAGAAGTTTTATCTAAATCGGTCCTGTGGTTCTCGAGTTTATCGTGTATAAACATACATACGTGCAGATACACAACATCGAAAAGAATTATAATTTATATAATAGTCCAGAAGCGTAGATTATAAAAATAATTTTCTCGATATTACGTTTTGGTCCGCGCAGCTCAAAATTTAGATTACTCTATGTTCTATGGATATTTATACGTCCACGAATCATCTAATACTGAAATTGTCTAATAATTAAACTTGCAAATCTATCTTATATCTAAAGACTTTGTAAAACTCTTTCGACAAACTTTACAGGGACAATTTTTATTGCATTTAGAAACGATCGCAATACTCGATAAAAGGTTAAAGTTTATTTGAGCAAACGTCAATCTTCGCGCATTTCCATTTACAACCATTACGAACTACTTCCGTTCGATCTTCGTCGCTTTTCGCAGTAAAAACGGATAAAAAATCTGATTTCCCTTCGCGATCAGCCGCGACACTGAACGTAAATCGCGTTGGGTGAGAAATTACAGTGATCGCAAAACGCATTAGTTACTTGCAGCACAGTCTCGAAAATTGACAGTCGCGTTACCGCGTGTTTTTGTCCGTATCGCACAGTTTATGTTTCAATCGAACGCAAACCCGATAAACACAGTCTAGTTTACAGAGCGCATTATTGAAATCCATTAAACTATCCGGTGCCGCGATCGATTACGGAATTTAACAGCGTATTCCTCTACCCTGAATTCTACATATTTTCTACGATCGATCGCGAATAGCTTCCCTTATTTTCCCCAACAGATTATCGGTTTACGTTAAAACCAGATAACAAAAGCAATCGAGTAACAAAGTCGTATCGAGGAGGGCTGACCGCAAAGAGACTAGTGGGAAAAAGGTAGAATCGTCTCTGAAGGTGGTCTACTCGCATCTTTTTCCTCTCGCGTGTAATCGATGGAGGGAGGAACACAGATCTTTTAGATCTCTGGATAGACGAGTCCCGTTCTGGTAGGCCGTTTGCGGGAATAGGCGCGTATCTCCCCTCTCGGCGGGCCACGTGTCGCCAGGAGGAGCCGCGCGATCAGAAACGGGCGTGCACCGACGACAACGACCACAAAGGTGAAAATAAAACGGACGCATCGTCGCGAGAAATGTCTGAAAATCGACGCGCCTTGGGCGCATCGTTACCTGGTTTACTGAAATTCGTGAACATGAAATCCCTGACGGCCTCCCGTAGCCGGCGACGCAGATCGGAGGAGGATCCCGTTGATCCTCCCGCGGGAGATCTTCCGTGATGATCTTTGTGAGACGATCTTCCTCTCGAGGGGCTGAGCGATCTTCTTCTCCTCCTCACGGATCCTTCGGGCTTCCGTTCACAGCGGAACCGCTGGGCTTTGTCACCTTCATGGACAGTACGTTCGCGCACACGACAGGTGGGACGGCACTCGTTGCGTTCACCCGACGTACAGGTTCAACTTTCGCGTCGTAGATCGAACGCGGAGACGAGGACCGCGATCGAACGCGCGACACAGACGTTAACGCGATTCAACCGTCGACGATCCGTTCCATTCAATCGATCAATGACGGATCGAGGGTGAATAACGCGGCACGATTTGTAACCGCGACGCGACGCTCGATGGCGTACGGCGACGCGAACAGTAGCTCTCCGCGAGGGAGAAACAACAAAGTGGCGTGTGTACCAAGTTGGCCGCGGAGCGCAACTGAAGCTAGGGGTGGCACCGAGAGAGAGAGAGGGTGGCGTGGATGCAGGTCGACGTGTACGCTGCACGGGCACATCCCCCCTAATGAATGCACCAGGCATGTGCGACGGATTTTATGTTCGCCGCCACCGCCGCCACCTCGCTCACCCCTTCGGCCTTCGCCTCCGCAGCCACCAACCGAGAATCGGCCGCCACCCCCGTCGCCCAACCTCCGCCACCTCTCACCCCTCCCCGCCGACCCTACCTGCCACCCTTCTTCCTTCTCCTCCTCTTCCTCTTCCTCTTCCTCATCCGTTTCACCCTTCCTCCTTCACGCATCCCCCTCGGTATCTCTCTCTCTCCGTCCCTCTTTCGATCTTTCTCCTGCCCCGTCTCGCTTCACCGGGGTTTCTTGTCTCGCTTTTTCCTTCCGACGAGTGAACAGCGAGCCACCACCCAACCGAGTCGCGTTGAAGCCCGTTTTCGCGCGCGGCACTCGGTGTGTTGCACTCGCTGCAGCGCGAGCAGACGCGCGTCGCTCCCCGGGAAGCAGCGTGGGCGGTTTTGTCCCGTTTGCCGGAACCCTCCGCTCCTGGGGCTGTGCCCGGTTTTCGCCACCTCCTGCGTGCCTGCGGTCGTACCCTGAAACAGCGATTGGTACGCACAACTCACCCGCCCGTACGCGAATCCTCTCCTGCACCTGCCGTCTGCTCTCCCTCTCTATTCTCTCTCTCTCTCTTCGATAATACCCCTCTCTCTCTCTCTCTCTGTCTCTCTCTCGCTTCCACCCGTCGCGACTATCCACCCTCTCCGTCTCGCACCAAGTCCGTCTATTTATCCCCATTCCGCCTGCGCGTATTCCGTTCATCTTCGTCCGCAGGCCCTCGCTGCCCTCCCCCAGGCTCCCACTGTCCTATCTGTGTTCGAAGTTGACCACCGAGAACGTCGCCGAGGTTCGGCTGCGGTTTTCGTTCTCGAGTTCCTCGCACGCTCGTGGCCGATATTATCGTTCGATCCTCGTCCCCGACCCCTTCCTTCGTACTCCTGTGCTCCAGGAGAGGCGACGATTGCGGATGGCACGGCCGAGGATCCATGTACTTCTAGCGGGGCCTCGATCCACGTTTAAATACACCCCGGGTCCGGGCTGGGCTATATTGTCCGCGTGGATGCTGCAACTTTGTAACACGGGAACCGGGTCTGCGGTCGAGCGCGATTACTGCAACCCCCTTTTGCGATATCCACCGGTCTTAAATCCGCCCGTGTAAAAAATCTGCCGGGCGTCCGCTCTAGTCTGGGTTCATCGCGTCCTAGAGTGGTGAGCGTATTTCGAGCACGATGTATCCAATCTCTCGACGAACGTCGTATGTTTGCGTTTGTTTTAAAGAGTAAAAATTACGAGGGATTGTATCGGTATCGTGTCGAGAAATGCTGCGGCTTGGTGGCGGGATCAATTGTCGATTTACTTGCAAGAACGGGCGCAATTTTCGAGTCAGATGCTAAGTAGATGCCAACGGAAGAGGATAGTGCTGTGATTGTTACGATAATAATAACGAAATGGTAACGTCTTTGTCAGACTAAAGAAAGAAATGTACAGCGTGATGTAAACAGTGTTTGTTGCTGCCGAGAAGTTAGTGAAAGAATCTTATTGAGATGATAATATTGACAAATAAGATATACAGAAAGAATGTGGGTGTTGAAGATTACTAATAATTCTGAGGAAAATTCCATATTCTAACGCGTCGACTGCTTTGGGGATGTTCATGATATCTGTTCAAATATTCAATAGTTCATCGGTGTATTTGTTACTCGTAGTATCAATGATGACAATAACGTTATTCAAAAGTTTGCAAGTACCTGAATTTATTTATAACAAGCGTTTCATAGAGTCGTAAGATCGAAGCGCCGGTCATCGGTGACCACTATGTCAGTCGACGCGTCCGTATTTCGTGTTGTATTTACATCAAGAACTATGTTTACGGGTTCCACCGTGTATAATAATTCGCCTATGCAACTATGATATCGCTGATTTTTACCATACACTGCTCGAAACATTCCACGATTCTCGAGCAACTAA